AAAGAAAAGTAATAAAAACCAACCTCTGAGGTATAAAAAATTGTGCCAAGGATGACACAAATGTCCTATCTTCTTACCTCCTTTTCAAAGCAAAGTATATTAAAATTGCATTAGAATATCATTAAGAATTTGATTGCAATACACTATAATTTTAATTGAGCAACTAGCTGACAGGAGTAAGAACACTCAGATTATTAATCAAGGAAATGATGAAAAAGCAATTGTGATTTAGTGTTAATTGCTGCACTAAACTGTCATTAATTAAAGAAAAAATATCAATATCCCCTAGATGGAAACCAAGTGACACACTATTAATCAAAATTACCAAAAATATAATAAAAAATACAAAGCAAGTGGCTTTTCTCCACCATGCCATTTCTCTGATCTTTCATATTAGATAGTTTGAAATAATGAGAAAAATCTGAAAGCTAATAAAGACTAATTTTTTTTTATTTTGGTGGATGAAGTTCTGAAAGCCTCTGATCCTTTAACTGTAAGACTGGCAGGTTACAAATTTCCTCTCTTTCATTTCTACAACTATCCCTAAACTCAATACCAATAATCAGTATATTCTCATTGAAAAGATTTCAGTTCTCTGTAAAGCCTGTTAAGAATCCATTGCTGCCAAATTACTGAGCCTTGAAGTCAGGTGTCTGATTTGGATGTAATGGGAACATGGCAATATGTTTTTTAAAAACCCAGTTTTCCCAACAGGTGTGTAGTTAGTTACAGGGCTTACAGAGGACTAATTAGCATCCAGAACCAGATTCTTTTCTTGCCTTATGCAAAGTCATTTATATATTCATGACTCTGAACTGTCCTAATAAATGTGATGAGAAGCAAAATAACCTAATGAATGAGGATGTCAACTGCTAGTCTTCCTTATTGGAAAAGAGCAAAGAAATTCCTTCTGGAGTCCTGATCTGATTTGTCTTCCTTAGAACTGCCAGACAATTTGTCACCCTGATTCTCTTGAAGCAAGCCATTCTCAGGTGGGCAGGACCATTCAGGCTCAAGAAAGGTCCTTAAATTCCCCTAAACTCGGCCCCTAAGATGGCACAGAAGGACAAAGTCCAGCCTCTGTATATTGCTTGCAAGAAATCCAGGTAACTCTCTATCACCTATCAGCACACCTGAAAATGAGTCTCTGATGGGTGAGCGTAGATGCTGAAAGATGGGGGCGAGGTGTTGTGGGGCACAGAAGTGAGACTTAACACAGTCCATTTTAATCTGGACCAACTGAATAATGGTCAGGTGCACAAGAAAATTTAAAGATTCTGTTTTGACTTTATCATAGGAATGAATAGTCAGCAAAAAAAGACTTTTAATATTACAGATTCATGCATTCTTAAAACTTAAAATACCTCAATGATTATGAAAATAGAAAATAACATGAAACATTCTTTTTAAATATTTATTTATTTTTAATTGTAGTTGGGCACAATATCTTTATTTATTTATTTTTATGTGTGCTGAGGATTGAACCCAGGGCCTCACACGTGCTAGGTGAGCACTCTACCACTGAGCCACAACCTCAGCCCCAAAATATTCTTTTTAAAAATATTTTCTTATGCTTCCTAACAAACTTAGATCATAAAAAAATTGTATATAACTTTCCATATATCCAGTAGCATATTTGTTCAGTGAGAAATCACAAAAACTAAGATTCACCTATGTAGATATTATTTATTATGTTTTTTGTGTTTTCTTACAGGTTGTAATGACTGCATATCTATTTCCTATTTTAAAACCATACTGAAAATATACTTTATTTATAAAGTATAAACACATTAAAAATGTGTTTAACTTCTAGACAGGGAACAATTACTTCCTGTTTGTTGCACCTACAGAGGTACTAAGTAAATAAACACTAATAAATAAAGTACTGGGGTAAAGGCTGAGGTTGTGGCTCAGTGGTAGAGTACCTGCCTAGCACATGAGGCATTGGGTTCGATTCTCAGCATCACATAAAAATAAATGAATAAAATAAAGGTATTGTGTCTATCTACAACCAACAAACAAATAAATAAATGGTAAATCTAATTTGCTATTCTATGACCAATTAATACCTCAGCATCTCAGTCAGTTCAGGCTATGATAAGAAAACCACAGACTGTCTGTGGTTTTAAATAGTTCTAGGGCTGAGAAGTGCAAGATCAGGGTTCTGGTGGATTCAATATTTGTTGGGTGCTATTCTTTCTGCTTCAAGAGTGCACCCCTATTCTGAGTCCTCACATGGAGGGAACATGGGGTCTCTCTCAGGTCTTTTAAGTAAAGGCAATAACCTCATCTTCAGGACCTATCACCTTCCCACAAAGACCCTATTTATAAATAAGACAACCCTGGAAATAAGATTCCAATATATGAATTTTGTGAACACATAAACAATAAGTCCAGTACACTCAGTTTTTCTTACTTTTCTAGAATTTACCCCTGGCATATACTCTTTCTATAAAGGGTTTTTAGGTTGCATGCCCCAGTTGCAGGCAGGGAACTTGAAGGGAACATTCACCCTGAGAAAACCAAAAAACTTCACCTTGAATAGCAGTGAGAGGCCATCCTGGGAAAGTCTAGGGACCAGCTGCTCTCTCTGCCTTATGGGGCTCATGTTCTCTCTCATGTGCAGTTCTCTCTACCGGTCCCTCCTTTTGCCTTTTCTGCCACTGACTTCCTCTGCTTTCTCCTAGGCTCAGGCCTGTACAACTTTGGCTTATAGATGGTCATGGCTTCTTTAGCCCTATATTACATCTCAGCAGTAGGACCTATAATAAACTAACAAATTCATGTGCTTCTTCCTAGTTCAAATGTCCTAAAAGAATCTGACCAACCTAGCTTACTTTTTCAATCCAGACACACAGGTAACTAATTTGGTGGATAGCATCTCTTATACATACTCCAATCACCATCATTGGGGGGGGGGATTCCTAGCATCTTGTTTTAATGTTCCCCTAGTGATCCTGGTAGAGAGGCAGAGTTGGGGCCACTGAGAGTGTCTCACTAGGGACTGACTGTCCTTGAGGTAAATGTTTCTCACTGATGCAACCCTAAGGTACTGAGGATCCTATGGAATGCAACATGATTGAGGGTAAGTGGTATATGAGTTTCCTATAGCTGCTATATCAAATTACCACAGAGTGGATTATAAGAGCACAAACTATAATCTCATATTTCTGGAGGTCTTCAATCTAAAATGGATTTCACAGTATTAAAACCAAGATATTGGTGAAGCTGTGCTCCATCTGGGGGCTGAGAGGGAGAATCCATCTCCTTATTTTCAGCAGCTTCTAGAAACTGTCTGCATTCATTGGCTTCTGGTCCTTTCCTTCATTTTCAAAGTCAGCAAAAGCCAGCTGAGCCTTTTTTCACAGCGCACACTTGGATACTGATTCTTCTATCTCCTTGGTCTACATTTTAAAAAGTCCTGTGATTCCAATAGGCCCAAACAGTTATATAATCCAAGGTAATCCTCTTCTCTTAAATTAGCTGCCTAACCTAATCCACCCTTGCACAGAACATAATACACCCACAGGTTCCACAGTTAAGGATAGTGACATATTTGAATGGACTATTTTCCCACTATGAAGTCCATGTACAACAAACACACTGGGTAGTCAGATTTGCTTACAGGAAGTTATGGCCAAGCAGGCACTATAAACAATCAATACAACACTATGCTGAATATTTTTATAGCATGACATGTAGATTACTCAAATTTTAACAGTTTGTTCATTTTAATCACTTTCACTTTGTCAACAGACATTTAAGCCATAAAAACAAAAGACTAAATAATTCCTGCAAATATATATGAATGTAAACAGAAACATTTCTACCATTCAATAATTTACAAGGAATTTTCCTGCAATTACTTATATTAATTTGTATATTTTATCCATAACTACTACTAAAAATCAATTATAATTAGTCTCCAGAAGAAATTTACTTTAAAATACATTTTAAGTAATTTCCAAGTTACTTTTTCCTTGGTCAATGAGTGCAGATCTACTAAAAATACACCAATAATAGTACAGTATAATACAATTCTTTAAAAGAAATATTTATCTGCAGCGTTTCTTCTTCAAGATAATTTTAAAAAATCTTCCTATGCTTGAGACTACCAGTATGTGGAATTTCATGAAGGCCTTTCTGGTCATTAGCAGAGTTTTTGAAAAATTTAACTGTGAAAACCTGTCACCAGAAATGCTACCTCAACCCTCTCAACAGAAAAGGAATGGGATGAAGTGAGAAAACAAGATCACGATATAAATGTAAGTTAGGCAAAAAATAGTTCAACTTCAAAAAGCTTTGAAGGGAAAAGCCTTTTTATGCATATTTGAGGAAATAGAATCTTTCTTGGGTTTTAAAAATTAACAGTCAAAACTAGAATAATAAAAAGTCTTTCCTTCCTTATGCCTGTATTTGCAATAAATCTACACATACGAAAATAAATATGGCACATGTATAGTTAACTTATCAATATGAAAGCCAGTACTTGCATTTTAATTTTAAGTAGGTTAAAACCAGCAAATCTTACTGCCTTGGATTTTATTCTATGACTCATTTGGAACATAAGTCAATCAAAAATATTTATTGAGCACCTCATATGTACCAGAAATATTACGAGTATTAGTTTTCAATTTATTACATTTAAAAAAAAATGATTGCTCCCACTCAAGTTCAACAAAATAACTTACTAAAGTTAAAAAAATTAACACTATTTGAAAAAGCTTTAATAAATTAACACTATTTTGAGTCTACATGTTTGGTCTTACCTAATAATTTGTGAGCTGGTAATTGTAGCATTATATCTTCATTGTATAGTGATGGATATCACAAGCCCAGTGGGCAAAACAATTAGTTGCACACTGGAAAATGTGAAGGGAGAAGGGTTCTTTCCTTTACATCTGCAATAGCATAACTATTGAATTGAAATCAATTTGATAATGTAAAGTTAATAACGTGTCATCAGTAACCAGAAAAAAAAAAAAAAAGAAGTGACTTACTCAGACTGCTTAGCTGGCGTATGATTGCAGCAAGAGTACTGTTGGTTACACATTCAAGTTCACTGGTAATTCCTTCTGGTAGAGCTCCCCGGCATAAGTGCCGGGGTTCAATGTTCCTCTTCACTAAAGGCATGGCTCACAATCTGAAAATTAAAAAGATAATTTTTGAAAAGCTCATATTTACATTTTAAAAAATCTATTGAGTTTTAGTTCTTTTGAAAATTCAATTTGTCCTAGGAATTTCATTATCCTATTATTTCTACATGAGAGTATAGATAAAATGCAACATGCAGTGAATGTTTAATTATTTCAATTAATTTTATGGATTTCAGATATATGGATAGTATAATTCTCCTTTTCTAGAAAAATAATACATGCTAAATCTCCACCAAAGCATGAGACTGAATAGTGCATTTTTACCTCTTTCCCTCTCTGATGAGAAGATAGAAAAGGCAAGTCCACAAGTATGGCTATAGTTTGGAACCTAAGCATCCCCTAAAATCCTGTGTGTGAACGTCTTAGTCCCTATGGGATGATATCGAGAGATGGTGGAACCTTTAAGAGGTAAGGCCTAGTAAGAGGTCAATGTTCTTTAAGGTCATTGGGGAAATCCCCTTAAAGGGGAGTGTGAGACCCTGACCCCTCCTATCTGTTTCCTGGAAATGAGTAAGCAATTCAACTCTACCACATGCTTCTGCCATGAATGGTGTTTTGCCAAAGGCAATAAAAAGCAACAGGGCCATGCAATCATGCACTGGAACCTCCAAAACTCTGAGCCAAATAGAACGTTATCCTTTATAAGTTAATTATCTCTAGCACTTTGTTATAATGATAGGAAGCTGACTAACACAACCACTAAGAGGAGGAGAGGAGGAATAGTTATAAAACTACAGAGAAAGTATAATCAGATTATAAGATAGAAATGGCTTTATCTAGACTGCAAATAAGGGGTAGCAGAAAATAAGTCCACCAAGCTCCAGAACTTCCCTACCTTCCCTACTAAAGACTTAGGTATCTGTGAAACAGGAGTGAAGTGGAATAAAACAGGAGAAACAGCTTTTAAAAATCCATCTAAGAAATCCTTTTCCTGCTGGATATCCACAAGTAGCAGAATAAAATTTAACCTCTATCTCTCACCCTGCACAAAACTCAAAGTGGATCAAGGACCTAGGCATTCATAGCCAGTGGTGTGGAAAGTGATGTGGATGCAATGGTGAATGAATGTGGACAAGACACCTCACACAAGGCACTGTACTCTAGCAGAAAGAAGACCTCTGAGCAAGTCACTGAGGTTCACTCACCTTCCACTTGATCAGTGCTATGAAGAGTAACTTGGGGATTCTGAAACCATGTAGGGGTAGGGTGCTGATCTGTCTCAGGAGTCAGGGGCACATTCTCTTAGACTTAACTGAACTGAAACCTCAGGGACGCACATGGGTCAGTTCACAAAAGGGTCTGAGGCAGAGGGAACATGGGGAATGAAATGGAGGAGGGCAAAAACAGCAGATTTATCAAGGAAAAGTTCTGTTGAATCCCAATTCTTTATTTGCTATTTTTTTTCCTTGTGTTTGCTGAATGGTGGTTGAACACAATGACCACATTTTCAGATTCCCACACCACTGGCTCATCCATTGAGAGGTGCATCACCATGGCTCATCACTTTACCTTTGTGTGCCTCAGCTGCCTCCCTGTAAAATGGGGGATAATAAAATTCCCCCCACTGACAATGAGGAGGTACCAACCTCTCAGCTACTATATGCATAAGTTACATAGAATAGGGCCTGGTATACAGTAACACTTTAAAAAAGTGACTAATTATAGTAATTGTATCTTTTTTGTATATTAATTATCTTCTGGGGGGATGGGGAGATTGAACCCAGGGTCTCAAGCATGCTAGGCAACACTCTACCACCGAGCTACACACAACCCTTATCCTATTGTATTTATCTTATATGTTGATTCTATAATGCTAATAATTCCATTTGTAATAATAAAACAAAAACAGTTTGTCATTTGTTGTTTGAGTGTAAAGTGTAACCTATAAGATAGTAACACACAAAAATCATTAAAGAAAGAAGAACACACACCCAAGGAAGGGTGCTGTGAAAATTCTAGATAGGGAGGTTTCTAAGTAAAAGTGTAAAAAAGATTTATTATGTGTTGTTACAGCTTTCTCAGAGATTTATTTCAAGTAATTGGACAATAATTTATCACAATAAAATAACCCAGAAAACTAGGATTCCTCATGAAAGATAAAAAAGAAGACCGATTATTATAAGCTTAACAAAACATAAAGCACAGCAAAGAAAAATAATGAACAGATAAATAGGGACCTAGTGCATAAGAACTAGAAGGAAATCAAGCAACAAAAAAGACGATTTCTGTTTAAGTAAGCTTTTTCACAGCTGTGACTAAAGGACCTGACTAGAACAGCTGTAGAGGAGGAAGAGTTTATTTGAGGGTTCACAGTTTCAGAAGTCTTAGTCCATAGAAGGCTGGCTCCATTCCTCCGAGCTCAAGGTGAGGCTGAACATCATGGCTGGAGAGGGTGGCAGAAGGAAGCGGCTCACATCACAGTGATCAGGAAGTAGAAAGAGAGAAATTCCACTCTCTTGATACAAAATATATACACCAAAGCCATGCACTAATTCCTACCGCCTCCAGCCCATGCTACAACTCAGTTACCACTCAGTTAATCCCTGACAGGGGATGAATTCACTGATTAGGTTAAGACTCTTACAACCCAATCATTTTTCCTTTGAATCATCTTGCATTCTCTCCCATGTGAGCTTTTCGGGGACAACTCACATTGAAACCATAACAATGTCCATAAAGAAGCACAGAGCAATCAAAGCAGAGAAGGAGGTAGCATAAACCTTCTAAAGACAAAGCAAATGAGCTAATGAACCAGATGCCTGTTAAAGAGTATGAACTTGGTCACAGTCTGCTTATAGCACTGGTGTACAAGACTAGCCCAGGTGTTCTTTATCCTCTAAACAATTTCTCAAAAAGATTTCATGATAGTTTGGTGTACAATGTTCTCCTCCTCCACATTTATTCTGCCTTTATTCAGGATTAAATGCTGCCTCCTCCTATTTTTAAACCTCTGCACTGACCCGAAATGTACAGCTTCTCCCCAATTACCACTCCTATTTTTTGTAGACCTATAACTATTTGGAGATTTACACACTAATCACTCTGATGTCCTACTGACATGTCTAGAATATATCCCCAAAACAAGTTAAATACTCTCCTCCATTTTCTCCTGAGCTGAGTAGTTCCCCAATATCAAATATGCCAGTCATTTTGGCTTACTTGGGAGCTAGCTCAGGCTAATTCCCAAGTAGGGAATGTCTGTTCCTGTCATTCATGTCTACAAGTCCAGGTCCTGTGATACTCACCTCACTACTTCCAAAGGCTTTTGTTTCTGCCTGTAAGACATGCCTTTCTCTATTCCACTGGACTGCTCACTAAACAATATGGCAGTACTGGCAGGTTCACAGTATGCTTAGTAGAGCTGCTATGAGTGCTGACCTAAACACTTGCTCAAGATATTATTGGGGCACAAATGATAAACTTCAATCCTTTAATAGTTGTAGAAACCATGTCTTTTATCTTCTTTTTTTCTGATACGTTCATATCTCAGTCTTGCTGACACTGAAGAGGGAGCCTGCCCCTCCTACAGTTACCAACTCCTAGAAACAGTAAATAAGCGGCCCAACAGCAGACATTGGTACAGGAGTACCCATGAGCACATACACATATATATTTCTTTTTGGCCTTCCCTTGGGGCACTCTGCCTATTGTTGTTCAGTATTTCAGCCTTGAATAATCCCAGCTTCCATTTCTTACTATACCTTTATTTGGAGATCCCATACATGTCTAAATACAAACAACAACAGAGAGGGGACCTGCCATCTGTCTATACTTTTAGAAAATGGGTTTTGCAGCTCCTTTTTAAAGTTCCAATCACCTAGCAATGCTTTCTATGTCTTTCCCATTCAGTGTGAAAACTACTCTTGGAGTATTTTACACACACAGATGTATTTTTTCCCCAGACAGCCTTAATTTAATCTGACACTAATTCAGTTTTAAGAGAATTGAAGAGCAAAAACAAGGTAAAGAAAAAAATGTTGGGTCAGTCATTGCTCTTGAAAATACTTTGCAATGACAAACACAAACATGCAATAAACTATTCTAATTTTCACCAATAAACACCTGAGCATGCCTCTCCATTCCTTTATTAGAAGAACTATGATCCATCAAAATCATTATTCCAAGTCAGTCTATAAAAATGAAACAAAGATTGCTACAAAAATGTTTAAAGATTATTAAGTCTGCATAAGGTATTAGTATTAGGTCTGAAGTTTGTCCCACTTTTCTGGGAAATGTTTCAATTTAGTGAGAAACAATCTGGTTCACAAAACTGTGAACTAGATTCCAGACACATCTGAAACTGGGCCAGGGTCTTTCCCTGGGAATTTAGAAGTGGAACCACAATGTCCAGCATGGTCTGGCTGCTTTCTTTAAAAGTGAAGATACACATCTCTATGGCCACATGAAATAGATTGATAAAGTTAGTCTGCTGTGAGAAATTAGAATGAAATAACTGAGCAAATGGCAAAGACAAAAACAAGGACTCCCATGGCTTTATGGAGTCTCCTTTTAGATCTTATGGCAAACTAGCAGAGAATGCTCCCGCTCAGTGTTCCCCCCTCTTCCTTCAAGGGACAGGCTTGCATTGTGTTTCCTTTCTCTTAAGCTTCCTCAACCCCCACTCTATATTCTTTCTTTTGATTAAGAAGAACCAAATCCTTTCACCTGTGATTCCATCTTGGCATTTGTTTCTCTGACCCAGACAAACAAAAATGACCCAAGAAATGATCTGAGGAAGTAGGTGGTACTTAAGACTTGCCCACGTATTACTGTAGGTAAGAAGATGCTATCCTGACTGAGGGATGGGGGCCAAAAAGTCCATGGCACACTTCATGGTTCAATTGCTGTCAATTGCTGAAGAGTGCACTGTTGGTGAGCTAGAAGGAGTATGTACCATTAGCAGGTACAACAGTGCAGACACTTGTTTGCAGAAGTTTCAGAGTTTTGACCTAAAATACAGCAAGGTTGAGTAGTAACTGCAAAACTG